AGAGTATTGTTAGCCAAGAATAATTTTTTTGTAGTCTAATAGCATTCAGAAAGGAATAACAAAAGAGGAATTGGTGTGGGGTACATCCTGGTGAATTATTTTAGTCTTCCTCTGACTTCCCCCTTATTTTAGTCTTCCTCTGTACCCCCTTCCCTCCCTTTCCTATCCCTGTTAGATGTTAACCCCTTACTCCCTGCTCCCCCTCCCCCAAGTCAGTCCCTAGGGTAATTTTACAGTTTTTTTCTCTCAACAGATAACAGTCTGGGGTTACAAACATTTTTCTCTACTTGCCATATATATTGGATTATCATCTAAATTATGTTATAAAATAACTCAAATAAGCAGGCAGTTGTGTTTACTCTAACTAGTACTGTTAAACCCATCTGAGTTGTTACTGTGGGAAACATATTTGCAAGGCAAGGGTATTATTGTTTTAAAAGTTTAGGGCTAGGGTGTGCTTCCTGAGTAGGAGTATCTGATTGCTGGAACAAGGAAAAAAGACTAAAGACTAGATGGTATTATTTGATTGTGAAATTGAGTACTTCTAATCATTTTCAGTCATCAGCAATTAATACAGCATATTTTATGTTGGAATCTGTATGCTTTTTCATACAGATTCATGTATTCTTCTTCATTCATGTTTCCTTTAATATGTATTGTTTTATGCAATCACAAATCCATAGTGAAGGAGAATTTTGGAGGTTTTCTTAACCTTGCTATATGCTCTCTTCTTTCTTCATTAGTAGGTATTATTGTTACATTTTTTTGAGAGTATTGAAACATAATGCTAGACAAGTTCCTCAAGGTGTTCCTCTGTTAAGATATTAATCTTTTTTATATTAAAAAAATCACCCTGATTCACCTTCCTGTCAGTGCTATAGAGAAGAAAGGATTTCCCATTAGGCTAATTGCCATCTCTTTATATTTTTGAGCCTGAAGCTAGCTAGCAAATCATAGAAGCCTACTGTGAGAAAGACAATCCTATTTTAACAAATCTTACTTTTGTCCTTTGTAAATGCTGATTCTGTTATAATTGCACATTTAAAGGCTTTTTGTGTTTTATTATCTCACAGTAGAATTTACATATAAACTTTTATTTAAGGTAACATACATTGTTTCCGTGGTGCTTCGGAAGAGAAGAGATACTTGCAATGGTTGCACTAATCTAGAGTTCCTGAGAGCAGAATTGAATGAGAATTGGTCAGTTTTCACGGCAGGAGTCAGCTTGTGTATTGTTCTGTATATGTATGTAGGTGGAGAGTGAATGTGTGAGCTCCCATGTGCACATCGTGCTCTCAGCTTTCGTGATGTTGTAGCAGAAGTACACGCAGCAGAGAGGAGCAAGGGGCTGAAGCATCCAGCAGGAAAGAGTTAATGCCATACCTTAATGCCTGGGGATGATGCCATGCTGTCATTTGTGAGCTCCGAGGTGGCTGGCCACTTCCATTTTGGGATAAATCCCTTGGAAAGGGAAGGTGTTTCAGAGGAAGGTGTGATCTGTTCTCCTGGTAAGAGTGTTTGACAAGGAATGAATTAATAGCTAAAAGAACTGAATAAATATCACCCTCCTCTGTAAGTCCAGGCACACCCCGACTGGCACATATATACTCTAATGTGACACTTTACGCAGATGCTTGAATTGACTGGTAATGAAAAACATCCCCAAAAAACCAAATTGGAGTTTAATCACAACTGCTTCTGATAAGAGGGTTTTTTTTTCTTTTACAATGACATTTGAATGAAAATTTAAATAAATGCAAGGAATTACAATATTTTGCAAATAGAATATATTGATTGAGTATATATGCAAAGGGTGAGAGGGGCTGCTTGAGTGGAAGCAGGGGCCCTGACAGCAGGTTCTTTGCCAATTGGTGAGGTGAAATGGTCCACTGAATTGGATAACACGGAGCATACCATAGTGACTGATTAAATTGATTTGTCCATGGCTACTGCCTATCCCGCTATGGAGGCCCTTTACCCTATTTTCAGACTTTTTCTTTTTTTTTTTTAACTGTTCTAAATAGATGTGGTAAGGGAGAAATGTGCTGATTCATTCACAGCCATAAAATTCCATGTTCTGATTTAAGATAAAAAACACAGTTTCCAAAATGACTGCACACTCCTAGGCTATACTGTGTTATAATGCATTTATCTCAGGAACAAGTACACTGATAGAAACTGATGAAAAAGGTAATAATAAACATTATTCTTTAATATAACCTAAACTACAACCAGTACCACATCTGTGAATCCTTAGATGTATTTACTGGAAAGGGAAAAAGTAAAACACTTAAAGATTTTTAGTTGCTGCTGTTGTTTCATTTCTCTAATTGCAAGGCTTATTTCCTTACTATTTTTTTCCAGAAGATGTTTAGAAAGCTTGTGGTGGAAACAGTTGAATGCCAGTTAGGAAGACTGAATGCTGAACATACTGTCAAGTGGGGGTCACTAATTTGAAAATACTGCAATGATTTGGCAAACATAGTCAGAGGGATAGTGTTTAATAACTTGAATTTTTTTTTTTTTAACTATAGGAGAAAAAAGCTTTGTGTTTTGGTCTTAGATCAGGATGTTTGGATTTTACAATGTACTTAGTGTGTCATTTCCCTTTTTGTGCTAGAGAAATCAATACTAAGTGATAATAGGGCTGGTACATGTTATTTTCTTTGTGATTCAAGGGAAGCTCTGTTAGACTCTGTTCATGGGTTAGTCTGTAGTATATGCAGACAGAGTAGTGTAATCATAGTCTTCAAATTCCACTGAAAAATCACATCAAACTTCAGTGCAGTGGTGACATCAAAATGGAGCCAGTTCACCTAAAATATGTTATTGCAGTTGTAACAGTGCAGAGTTCATTGTACGGGGCTTGGTTTCTTATTCATTTTTAGGGAAGATACAACAATAAATCACAGTGATTTCTGAAAGGATAATGAAGTTCTGTTCATTATTTAACTTCTTTAAATTATTGGTCAGTCTTGTAGGACATGTTTGCATGCAGCATGCCCTGAGCAACTTGCGCTGTTTTTTCATTTGTCTGTGGAAATGAAGATACGGTTTTATCAATAACATTTCTTTGCAAGGTAAAGCAAATTCAGTAGATGAAACTCTGCCTGTACATAAACTTTGCTTGGATTAAACTTCTTGATATTGTATAAACTAGTAGGGACACTACTAAATACTAGGTGAAATAGTCAAGCAGCGCTTTGTTACTTTTCAGGAATCTGAAAATGTAACATACCTTTATGTCGGCTTGATCTGGAGCACGTTGCAATATTTTATTCATAGTTACAGTTACAGGGTTTTTTTTAATCTTTATCTTCACAGACGTACGTATTCGTGAAATAATTGTTTTTAATTAGTTGGTTAAGGGAAAGCAAAAAGAAAAAAAAAATAGGTTTAGTTCTTTCCAGTAATGTTTGACTTATAAATGAAATGTCTATGCATTCAGTGCAAATTTTATAAAACAAAGAAACAGAAGCCATACAAAAGCAGCCAAAGTTGAAAACCCGGTGGTGCACATAAGGTCACCATGACAAAGGCGTGTAATTATTTCTTTGTGTCGTATGTTAGAATAATGTAATCCAATAACTGGTGTTCCTGGTGTGTGTTACAAAGGATTCAGTAAGGAATTGCTGGAGAGTTCTTCAGGACTCCCCTGGCTAACAAGGTTAAACAGAAGAGGTTTTGTGGGCTTCAGCCGTTTCTGAGGAGTGTGGGAGAAGCCGTGTCCGTGCGGCTGGAGGGGCCTCTCTGCATCCCCGCGCTCCCGGCAGCGCATCCCACGTACACACACACACAGGAACGCACACACACACACACACACAGGAACGCACACACACACACACACACAGGCACGCACACACACACACACACACAGGCACGCACACACACACACACACACAGGCACGCACACACACACACACACACCTTTACTGAGTTTATTTTGAATCGAACCCCTAAGTGCCACTACAGACCACGCGTCCCCACTGGCCCGGAGCCATTGCCCGCCGTGCCTGGGCTGAGCCAGAGGAGCCGAGGAGCCGGCGCTGGGCAGAGCCGGGCCATGGGGCAGAGCCGGGCCATGGGGCAGAACCGGGCCGTGGGGCAGAGCCGGGCCATGGGGCAGAACCGGGCCGTGGGGCAGAGCCGGACTCGGGACAGAGCCGGGCCGTGGGGCAGAGCCGGACCCGGGACAGAGCCGGGCCCGGGACAGAGCCGGGCCCGGGGCAGAGCCGGGCCGTGGGGCAGAGCCGGACCCGGGACAGAGCCGGACTCGGGACAGAGCCGGGCCGTGGGGCAGAGCCGGGCCCGGGGCAGAGCGGACCCGGGACAGAGCCGGGCCGTGGGGCAGAGCCGGACCCGGGACAGAGCCGGACCCGGGGCAGAGCCGGACCCGGGACAGAGCCGGACCCGGGACAGAGCCGGACCCGGGACAGAGCCGGACCCGGGGCAGAGCCGGGCCAGGGGGCAGAGCCGGACTCGGGACAGAGCCGGGCCCGGGACAGAGCCGGACTCGGGACAGAGCCGGGCCCGGGGGCAGAGCCGGACTCGGGACAGAGCCGGGCCCGGGACAGAGCCGGGCCCGGGGCAGAGCCGGGCCGTGGGGCAGAGCCGGACCCGGGACAGAGCCGGACCCGGGGCAGAGCCGGACCCGGGACAGAGCCGGACCCGGGGCAGAGCCGGACCCGGGGCAGAGCCGGGCCCGGGGCAGAGCCGGACCCGGGACAGAGCCGGACCCGGGGCAGAGCCGGACCCGGGACAGAGCCAGTCGTGGCTCGTGGCGGGCGCCGCGCCCCTCCTCGCGCTGGGTGTCCCTGCTGCCCGCACCGCGTCCCTCGGTCCGGGTTCCGGCAGCGCCGGGCCGCAGCATCCCCGCTCGGCGGGACGCGGCTCGGGGCGAGCGGGGACACCGCGCGGCGATGGCTGGAGATCTGGTGCCCTCTAGTGGGGCCGGGCCCGCCGGAAACCTTAACTCCATCTCTGTCTCTGTTTGGTTTTAGATGCTACAACTGTGGTGGCCTCGACCACCACGCTAAAGAATGTAGTCTACCTCCGCAGCCAAAGAAGTGCCATTACTGTCAGAGCATCATGCACATGGTGGCTAACTGCCCCCATAAAACTGTCTCGCAGCCCACTAGTTCTCAGGGAAGACATGAAACCGAACCACAGCCTTCCACTTCTGCCTTCCTGAGAGAAGGGGGAGGAACGCACGGCTTCTCGTCTCCATCGTACTCTCAGGAAGGCAGGTCGGAGATCTCGGAGCGCTCGGCCAGGTCACCACAGGAAGTGTCATCCAGTAAGTTGTCTGCATCACCTGAAGAACCAAACAGAAAGGGGCCTTCTGTTCAAAAAAGGAAAAAAACTTAATGCATTTTTCATAATGTTCTGTTTTCTTTACCCTCTTGGGATGTCTACCTCATGCAAGTACAGGGGAAATAATTCATTATCAGTAGCTGACCTGGAATTTTAACTACTGTTGAGGAACTGTGAATGTTTTGTTGTTTTGTTGTTGTTTTGTTTTTTTGGTTTTTTTTTTTGTTTGTTTGTTTTGTTTTGTTTGTTTGATAGACAAATCACTCCAAACAAAATATATCTGAGCAGGGTGCATTATGTTTTACTTTCCGTGTGTATGTGTGAGTATGCATGCGCGTGTTTGTGTGTGTGTGTGTATACATATCTATAAATATATTTTTTCCATCAGACCATTCTCTAGATCCCACCAGACATTACTGTGAAGCAAAAGTGACAGTACCCAATGTTCCTGAACTCATTCCTAGAACGTTTCAAAACGTGTTCAGAAAACAAACAAGAAAACTCAATTTTCTCAAATTTCACTCAGAAACAAACCAAACCTGATAAACCACATAAAGAACTGAGATCAAGACTGTTACATCACTTGTAAACCAAAGGATATTTCATATTTTAAAGCTGCCATATGGTACTAAAGATACTAAGACATCCCCCGTACCATCAATTTGAATTACTTCCTTTTTCATCTCCAAAAAGTACCAAAACCCCTCCCATCCCCATGCCAGTGCAGGGCAGTTTATGACTCAAGATGACTCTCATTGCCACCACCCTTTGTTGGTGAGGGGTTTAAAGCTCCAGAAAAGACAATGAATGTGTAGTTTCTGGGATGGTTTCTCAAAACGTTTTGTTAAATTAATATGATTGTAACTGTAACTTAGATGTCTGTTGTGTAGGGGAGAATGTGTAAGTTGTTACCAAACAGACCCTTTTGAGTGGTGCCAGGATGCCATCCTGGTTAGCCATTTGTATACTGTGAACAATTAGGGTACCTTGGTGGCAGTAGTAGCCGCAGCAGCAGCAATTTCTCTTGGTCCCAAGTAGTGTCCCTCAATTTGAAGGGTCTTTGCCCTTATTTCCTGTTGAAATACCATGGGGAGAACTCCTTAGGGATTTTTATTGTTGTTGTCCTTTTGAGTTTTAAAGAAAACAAAATGCAAAGTTAATGAGATCCTGGGCTGAATAGTTCCTGAGACTAAAGGTTGATGGGCACTTGGGGTTGCTCAGCTAGCCTCCCTAGATGATGATACAGCATGGGTACAGACCAGCCTGAGGGAAGGGACCTGCAGATTTGCCAGGAGCCCTGGGCATCATCTCCTTCTTGTGAACTGGGGGCTGCAGCTGACCAGCCTTGGTCCAGAGTGCCCTAGGACCACACACTTCTGTGTGAAAGAGGAGGAAGATTGGTGGCCTCAGAGTGAGACTCCCCGGGCTGCGGGCCTTGCTCGGGGTTAATAGAGTTGGAGCCTATCAAAACTTCAAGTCGCTTTCCATTTGTAACTTTTGAATTACCAAGTCATACGTAAGATAACGTACTCTGACAAATCCCATTGTGGATGTAAGTTAATTAGAGAAACCTGTATAATCCTTAACATTGGCAATAAACACAGGCTGTTAAAGCTTGAAAGTGTCGGGTAGGTTTAAGCTCGGATAATCAAACTAAAGAAACAGCCTGCGTGAAAGGCTACAGCGAGCCGAAGTCTTACCGTGGTAACTCCTCTACAGCTGATGGTTGCAACAGGTATGCAGCTGGCTCAATGCGTGGCCTTTCCCCTTCCCACTTGTCCTGCCAGATGAGACTTTTACTGGTGCTGCTGCTGCTTCAGTGAACAGGTAGTCATCAAACTCCTCAGTGAAGGGCACAATTTTATTTTGTGTGAATTCCTTGCCAATGTTTGCAAGAATCTCAAGGTTTGTACTGAAGTTTTCAGTAATGCTAATGCAAAGCTTACCTTTGACGATATTGAATGTGATATATCTATAGAGAACATCCTTGCCTTATGTAAGGATAGTAAACTTATTTAAATTATGTAGACAAATCAAAGTGGCATTGCTTAACCTTCTAGTCGGTGTAAAAACCAGGTTAAACAGCAAAGATGCAAAACTTAGGTCACTTTGAAAATTTAAACCAAAGTTCCTTATAGAAATAGGCAACTGTGGATTTGAAAACTGGTCATTCCCTGTTTATATGTAAGAAGTTCAGAGCTGAGATAAAGAAATGTTTTCAACATGCAGATTTTTATTGGTGCTGTTTGAAATCACTGTGTGCACCAAAGTCAGACTGAACTGCTAAGAGCACATACCAAACCCTATCTTATTGTTGAAAGCTTAAGGTTTTATTTTTATATATTAGAATGTTATCACTGTTACATAACATACTCAGGACAAAGAACTTTGCTCAGGGAATATACCATGTAATGTTTTTTCTTTACAGAATAGTCTACAGACCTGCTTACTCAGAACAAACCAAATAGTCTTAGACCTTTTTATCTCTGTATAAGTATTGTGTACTGATATTAGTAACTACCTCTGAGTTGACGTAGACCTACGTTTCTGATAATCAGATCTCAGCGTTTTGTATTATAAGTTCCTGTGAAATGTTGAAGTGGTATTATGTACTGGTTGCTTATGTGAGCATTTGTGTCTTTATATTCACAGGGTGTGAGTTTTCAGAGATGCTGGGCAACCACAGCTCCCACTGACTTCCAGTCGGAGTTACTGGTGCTTGGCTTTTCTAGGAGGGGAGGGATAGGGGATGGGGGTGGAGGGGGACGAATAAAAACACAAAAGCATCAAGCCCACTTTGTTTACATAGGTGACAATAAAATTATTATTCTGTTTACAGCAAAAGGCTACCTCATATCTACTGCATGAATACATCTTTGTGCTGCTGTGGCCTTAAAGGTGGCTGTTGATCTATGGTACATACTTTTAATCTGTACTAAATATGTTACTGTTAGTTCACCATTGTAGACGTTATGGTAAATACTTGTTTAAGAGGAAGCATCCATTTGACATTACAAGACCTTTCCAAACATTTCTTTAAAAGTTTTTATTTTTCTGTCCAAAGGATTATGGACACCATTCACGGGAATAAATTCAGCTCCAGAAGAGATAAAAATGTACATGCCTAAGTTAAACATATAGCAGCATAAGCTGCAGCAGGTAACAACTTAGCACTGGGCTGCAGTAGGAAAAAAAAAATATAGTTATACTTCTTCAATTGGCTGCTCCAAATAAGCAAAGAACCTTTTAAAGGAGGAGGCACAGACTGAGTTTGGGATTCTTCCTTCATGCTTAAGGACGAAATTAATATTTGGCAGCATTTGCTCAGGCTAGATTTCCCCCTATTCACCAGCCTGTCCTTGCCAGAGCTCTCCACAATAAAACTCGTTTGAGTAGAAATAGTTAAAATATCTGCTCAGACAGATGTATTTTTCTCCTAACAATAGTGGAGATAAGGTTAAACCTGAAGCAAGAATCTCCATCCCTCCCCTCCCCCACCCCCAAATGCTCAATGTGATTTAATTGTAAGGGACATTGTGAGATACTTTTTACTCTTCCCCAAGGAGAGGTCACGATATTTAATTACACGCTACAAAAGATAGACCATGAGGAAGACTTGTATTTGAAGGAAGAGCCAAATAACTTTTTTCTGCAGTTAGTGGTAGATCTGGCATTGTAATACCATTTGCAACATTTTGCCTTTAGCCAGCTTTCAGGGAGTGCCAAATCCACATTTGGATCCTACCTCTTCCCATTGCAGGCCACCCTTTTCAGCCATTTTATTCTGCACCAGTGTTATCCTGGAGTTCCTGCTTGGTTCCTGCTTAGTTTTGTTAATAGAACCCCATTTAAAAAAAGTGCTTATAGATCTTGTACCATTCTTTGTAAGAAGAATTATAAAAGAACATGGGAAATTGCATGGAGTCTTAAATTTAATTTAATTAATTTATCTGTAAGAAATGTTTATCATAAAAATATATATGTATTCCCCTGTGCTAGATATTAAAGTGATTGGGAAGATATGTACATGTGCAGATGCACTGATTTTAATTTCCTAGAAGTCTTAATGAGATTTGAGTATTGTTTTAGAAACAAGCAGAGCCTTGTTAAATGCATCAATCTTATTTTGCTTAGTTTTATCAACAGCCTCTTTAAGATCCAGTGGTTGTGTAATCCCTGTTACAACTGTTGACTGATAACAAGAGGTTGATCTATGAACACACACTTCTTTTTTGTTTTGTATAAACCAAAGCTGTGCAGTAACAGCTGTGGCAGTATTTTTCTGAGAATGTTGAAAAGTAGCAAGGTATTTGCTACCATTGTCATTGAACCAAATGTATGAATATGTTGACAAAGGACAATGGTTTTGACTACCTCTTGGATTACTAAGTTAAGCAACAACTGTCTGACAAACATCACCAGACTGGCTTTAACTAGTATGTGTTGCTTGTAATAATAATAACAATAACCATACTAGAGACCAAAGTGAACACTGATTTCTATATGTCTTTAATACTGTGTCTTATCTAGTGTTTTTAAATTATCTTCTGTAGTATAGATTACCTCATTGTCCATTTTGACTTGTATGTTGTTTACAAGGTGAAAAGAAAAATCACTTGAATTTTATGTTGTAAGAAATAAAACCTTGAGTTGAAGTTTTGAAAGTCATTTCACCTGTTTACTGTCTTGACGGACTAAAGCACTGATTGCCTTTCTACATACCATGTATTTTATATCCTCGTTTCATGCCTAATGTCTTTTTTTTCCTGTCAGTCATGGATATTGTGAGGTTTAAAAGAATTACTTGATTAAAAATAAAACATATAACATTGGCATTTACAGTGAGTCTTTGAGATTTGCTTTATTTGCATGGTAAAGACACACTGCATGTCACTGGGAAATTTTCTTTTGCACCTATGCTCACTTAGTTTTGGGACATTACCTTCAGAAAAAATAATTTTAGTTATATAAGTCATTGTTGGGGGGAGGGAGAAATAAATGATTCATTCATATCTGAATCACAGTTGCGGTGCTGCAGAAATTGTACCCCAAAACCTATTCAGCTATTGAAATTAAACTGCAGGATTATAGCTTTTGGTACTTATTCTCTGTGAGAATACACTGGATATTAAAGCTATCAGACATTTAGACATTTAGGTCATTCTCTCGCCTGAAAAGCTTTTGGTATTTAGGCCTCATCCCATCTTTATTACTACTTCCATAATCTGTAAACTTGTATATATCTATTTCATGGTAATTTAAACTGAATTGAAGAGAGGTTTCATTTTAGAAAAGAAAGTGCTGTCATTTTTCATTACCTGGAAATTCCTTCTCTAAATTACATATAGTGTTATTAGTGACTTGGATAGCATTAGCTCATCATTCTGTATTAAAATATTTGAGGACGTGTATATGCCAGCTTTGTTTTAACACAGGGCTCTGCATGGAGTGATTAATAGCAAAATTTAACAACCTCTGCTAATACAAGGCAGATTTTTTTTTTCTAATTGTACAAACATCTGCATGAAAGGGTGACTATCTACTCCTCCTATAGTCACAGAAAACTTCCATTTATTTCCCCTCACATCACCCCTCTAATACATGTTCTCAAAAAAGAGTGAGCTATGGAGATGTGTCCCAGTCACATGTCTAGTCACACCCTGTCGTGTCCCCAACCTGTAGCCAAATGGT